GATTGCTCGCCAGCACAAATAATATTTATAGTTAAACGATCAAAAATATGAGAATAATATTCTAATGCTTGGTATAAAGATTCACCTTCTAAAACAATCAAACCAATATCCTCAATTATTTGTTTAAAATAAGAATGAGAAATAGAATGTGAAGCAAGTTCTATTGCCTGATATAATCTGATTTGGGATTTAAGAAGAGTATGTAAATGTTCAAAAAAAAAATCTTTTAGCCTAACAGATATATAAAATCTTTGATTTTTTAGCTGCCAATCAATTAAGCCCATATTTTTAGCAAGCAAATCTTGTTCCATATGAGTCTCTGATCTATAAAATCTGATACCCTTATGAATGTTGCCCTTTAAATCTATTCCCTTCCAATAATAACAAGGCATCGATGAACCATTCTTAAATATATTACCGTTATATTGATAGATACTATATTACTTACTATAAGTTCAATGTAATTTTTTTAGCAAACGCTTATAAATGATATTCATTAATTACCAGTCAAGAACTACCAAATTTTTAAATTGACTTCAGTTTTCTCTATACCTAATTTTTGCAAATTTTGACTCTTTCATTGTCCTCGGGAATGCATTTGCTAGGTTGCTTGAATTTGTCTTATACTATTATGAAAAGTAATTATATTAAAGGAATCATCGCTATTATAAGACAGAAGGTTGAAAATGGGGTTAATTTAAGTGTTGCTATACAGGAATCAGCTTTACATGATGTTGAAATTATTGCTTTAATTAAAATAGGTGAATCTTCTGGAAATTTAGAATTAATGATTTCTCGTGCTTTGATTTTATATCGAAGAAAATTGTATGCTAAGCTGGATCAACTGAGCTCTTTAATACATCCCATTTTTATCTTTATTTTAGGAATATTAATTGCATTGGCAATATTTGCTGTTTATGTTCCTATATTTACATTAACTTCGTTTATAAATTAGGTTTTCATGAATTTTGAAATGATAAAAAAAATAATACTCCTGTATTGCTTAGGTTTTGGCTTTTTGCATATAACTTCAATGTATAGTTTTTTAAGAAATTTTTCGGGCATTTCTTCTATAAAAACTAAAGATTATCACGAAAAGCGTGCACATTATTATATGATGTTCAAAGGTAAATCAGCGAAATTTTGTCTTACTACTGAAGATAATATTCATATAGCAGGCTTACTTATAGAACGATCTGCTTCTGATTCGGTGTTAGTAATATGCCATGGCTATAAACAATCAAAAGAACATTTATTGGCGTTAGCGGAGTTATTTCCTGAATATACTATCGTATTATTTGATCTTCGCGCTCATGGGGATAGTGGTGGCAATAAAATATCTTTTGGCCATCATGAGTATAAAGATGTTTGTGCTATTCTTGATTTCTTAAAGCAAGACTCACGATTCAATAATAAAAAATTATATGGTTTGGGAATTTCAATGGGAGCGGCTTCAATGGCCCATGCTGCGTCCAAATTAGATGTATTTGATGGTTTAATACTTGATTCTTGCTTTTCTGTTATTGATTTTAAGGTCGTAACTAAATTTATTAAAATACCGTATTTTCTCTTTAATGTTGGTAAATTTTTATTTAAAATTATATACGATATTGATATTAATTCGATTAAGCCAGGCTTGTATCTTTCCTCACTGGGTATTTGTTTGTTAACTATTTTACAAAAAACACAATCATTCATGATTTTTTCAATCTAGCTTTTCATAACTTTAATAATGAAATTTTTTTTAACTGCATTATATGCGCACATCCTTAAATAACCCGCTATATAACGTTTGTCAATGTCTAACCTTTAAACTCG